TATTAAGAAGTTACAATTTTACAAACATTGCCTCTACCCCAGATTATAACTACTCAACAATTTGGCAACAGAAGGTGGATATTTTTTTTTTTTCAATTAATGGTTTGAACTTTAGTGTAAAACGTGAATCAGTGTTCTCCTTATAGCTATAGTAGAGAGGTTTGATGTACATCAGATGAAATTTAAGAAATTGACATGAAGAACCAGAACTTATCCATTTCTTTTTTTTTTTTTTTTAAGTTTATTGGGTTATTTTGAGAGACAGAGACAGCACGCATGGGGGAGGGGAAGAGAGAGAGGGAGAGAGAGAATCCCAAGCAGGCTCCACACCGCCAGCATGGAGCCCGATGCGGGGCTCGAACTCAGGAACCGTGAGATGGCCTGAGCCAGAACCAAGAGTCGGGTGCTCTACCAACTAAACCACCCAGGCGTCCCTCCATTTCTTTCTTTCTTTTTTTTAAATGTTTATTTATTTTTGTAAGAGAGAACATGATAGGGGAGGGGCAGTGAAGGAGGGGGACAGCGGATTCCAAGCAGGCTCCATCCTGACAGCACAGAGCCCGACACGGGGCTCAAACCCACCAACCATGATATCATGACCTGAGCTGAAGTTAGACGCTCAACCGACTGAGCCGCCCAGGTGCCCTCTGATCTTACCCATTTCTGAGGAATGAGAGCAGAAAGGATCAGGTCATGAACAAAGCAGCGAGCTAATACTCTGCACACCAGGGTCCACATTCACCTCTTCTACTGTCTAAGTCCCAGGCTCTTATCTGCTAAGAGCACTGATTCTGTCCAGGCCTGTTGCAGGGGTTATTGCAAGGGCTTGATGCACTGACGCAGTGGTTCCCAACCTTCTCAAAGCTACTCTAGTATTGGGGTGCCTGGGTGGCTCAATTGCTTAAGCGCCCGACTCTTGATTTCATCTCAGGTCATGACCACGCGGTTTGTGGGATCAAGCCCCACGTCAAGCTCTGTCCTCACTGAAGAGCTTGGAGCCTGCTTGGGATTCCCTCTCTCCTTCTCTCTCTCTCTCTCTCTCTCTCTCTCTCTCTCTCTCTCATAATAAACTTAAAAAAAAGCTACTCTAGTATCAGACGCCTTCTTCACTGCATCCAAATGAAATTCATAGAGACTATATCACACCTACGCAAAATAATTCTTTAAAAGGCCAACGTAGTGCCATAAAGGAGGTCTAAATGGTAAATCATTTGTAATAGAATAGCATCTGTGTTAGGATGTTGGATTCAGGCACGTCTTCACAGAAGCCAGAAAGAAGTAGCTGGTTGCTTACTACACCTGCGGAAAAAGGGGGGTGAACAGGGCAGCTATGAACGCAGCCCCACATCAATGTGATTTGCTGACTCTGGTATCACGAGCTGCTGGTGACAGCGTTTTCTGAAATGGTAAACTTCCAAACAGTGCCTAATATCCTGTTTCCCCAGTTGGATGTGCTGTTCGCCTTCATGGAAAATTCAGCGTGGATTAAAACTATGTTAACAAATATTTAGTGTCTAAGTGTGAAATGGAGTCTGGTTCTAGGCCCAAGTAACTATTAAAATATTATTTTAAATGTTTTTACTGTTTATTTTATTTTTGAGAGACAGACAGACAGACAGTGTGTGTATGTGTGTGCGCGTGCGCGTGCGAGTAGGGGAGGGACAGAGGGAGACACAGAATCGGAAGCAGGCTCCAGGCCCTGAGCTGTCAGCACAGAGTCCAATGCAGGGCTCGAACTCACAGACCTGGAGATCATGACCTGAGCCGAAGACAGACGCTTAACGGACTGAG